TAGTTCTTGCCCGACTATGTAGAGGGTTTGAAGACAAATGAACATCAGTCTGAATCAAGTAAAACATCGGGCTGTGAATAGTAGTAACTCATGTCTTCGTCAGAGTCAGAAATGCTCATAGCCTCCGCCGAGTCATCTTCAGTAAAATGATTCGATTCTTGAGATGTCGAAGTAAGTGCTCCTTCAAATTGTAAATTTGTTTCTGCCTTTTCATTATTATATTTCACCGAAGACGGCGGAGTTCTGAAAGGCAGCGGAATGCCCAGCCCACGGAGTCTTATCAGGCATACTCGACCAGAGGAGAGAAAACAGACAGCTTCATCCTCTTTAGGGGACACCGCCATGCTAATGATTCTTTCGTCACCATGCGCTATTTTGGCAAATGCGACAGCTTTGAATTCGCTTATGTCCCACAGAAAGACCATACCATCGATACCGTAAGAAATGAGGTAATGGTTTACCCTAAGAAATTGGCAAAAATCAATTCTACCTAGATGGCCGCAAAGAACATTCTTTGAGGAATCGATTTGAGAATCATGAAGACTGTACAAAAGAATTCTGTTGGCGATGCAACAAATCAAAAATTGATCGTTCAACGAAACAGAGCACCGATGGAACTCGACAGATTGGTAGGGACTCTCAACTCCAAATCTGGTCAAAAGGCGACTAGGATCTTCATCGTATTTCCAGATCTCTATCTGATACTCGCCACACAGAATAAGCTCTCGTTTGCGTGACAAAAGACCACAAGATTCGATGGCGAGTAATGTTTTCGACTTCACATTTCCTAAAATACATTTCTCTCTAACATCCCATACGAAGCAACGCAAGCCATCTTTGAAATTCTTAACACAGAAGAGAAGTGAGGTGCTTTCTGATGAAAATGTAATGTTCGAAACAGTTTCTTCGGAATCTGTTGAAAAAACCGTACACAGGAATTCAACAATCTCTCCTTCTGTTAGGCAAAATAGTTCCACGCTGATTCCCTGGGAAATGGCAATTAGCTGCCCGCCTGGAGAAAACGCACAAGACCTAACAAAATGTATGGGAACCTTAGACCGAGGAATCATTGTGAGGAATTTAAAGGTGATCTCTCCACTTTTTTCGTTAACATCCCAAACCGTCAAAACTGCGTTAAAGGAAACAGTTACAACTACGTTGATTGAAGAGAACACCGCTGTGATCGATTGATTATCAAGTGAAAGTAATTGAATATAGACAGCACTGTCAACTCCATACCCCTTATAAAATAGAGACTCGGCGTATACATTTATATCCTGTGTGGACACTTCAGTGAACCCTTTAGGTAGCAGCACGGGCATCGCCTTCTGAAGATCGCAATCCTCATACTGATAAAGGTGCGAGTAAAGTTGAAATATTCTTTCACGCAAAGTTATGAAGGTTATGAAGGAAGGCTCTTGCAACGAATTTCTTACAATTTCAGTTATGAAACATTCATAAACGCATGGAGGCCTACGAAGAATATGAATAATCATCTCATCATGTGGAACTTTCTCAATATCCCTCATAGCAAACAAAGCCAACAAATTTGCAAGACAAAGCCCGTTTTTGCAAGGAGATGGACCCTGCATCTTTTCACAAACGTTAAGGTTGCCTGATAATGGAACAAAGTCCTCCACACATCTTCGTATAACTGAAAACCGTCTGTTAGGGCATCCAAAATATAAAAACATACCATCGTAAGAAAAATCCAAATGGGTTACAATCGTAACTTCACTTAACTCAAAAGGCACACTATTTCTCTTTCCGGTCGAAGCGTTAAAGAGTATGAGAGACCGACCTAGTGCACCAGCCACTGTCGTTTCATCAGGCGACGTGGCAAGGCAGAACATATGAGCAATGTAATCGTTAGGAGCTGCAACGAAATCAGGGGATTTTGATTGGTTATATTCAAGCCAAGGAGATGCTGGATCCGGGACGTTTGAGATGCCTCGTAAACATGAATGCAGAAGGTGAGGACATTCTGAAAGGACATGAACATTATATTCAATAACTTCATAAAGTTTTTCAAGAATTTCTCGTTTCGGTTTGTCGAGACGGTCACTAACAAGCCTAAAATCTTGAAGCAGGTGATAGACTTCAACTCTGCTACATAGCAATCTTCTCTCTATGTAATGATAATTTCTTAAACAACTGAAACCAAGATTCAGTGAATCTTTCCCATCTAACTGACACAAAAAGCGAACCGCAACGCGCAC